AAAGACACAAACATAAAACTTCTCTTTCCTTTAATGAGGTCTCCTTATACATAGCAGACCTTGTAGATGAGCCGTCATCCTTCCTCCTCCTGAGACATTTTCTGTTCTGATCAAATCTTTATTAATTTAGATGGGACCCAAAGCATTTCTTCTCCTGTGGAAACATGGGCATAACCCCTTCCCCATCGTAACACATACCCTGGTTTCCAGACTGAGGTCATAACATCCTTAAAATACACCAGTTGTTTCAGTTCGTAAGTCTTCTCTGTAGTCCAGTGTCTTTCTGCTGCAGTTTGTCCTTTTTCATCAGCATTAAGAAAATTCAATGTTAGTAAAGCATTATGTAACCTGTGTTTAGGGGTCTTTGTTCTCCCTGGCTGTTTATGAAGCATCTCTTTTAAGGTTCGGTTAGATCTTTCAATCACTGCTTGTCCTGTGGGATTGTAAGGTATACCAGTTACATGTTTTATATTATAATATTTGAAAAATTGTTCCAATTTACTGGAGACATATGCTGGAACATTGTCAGTTTTTATCGTTTTAGGTATACCCATAACAGCCATCACCTCTAAGAGGTGTGTAATAACAGAGTCAGCCTTTTCAGAGCTGAGGGCAGTAGCCCATTGGAATCCTGAGAACGTGTCTATGGTATGGTGTACATATTTTAAACTGCCAAATTCTGGGAAGTGAAATACATCCATTTGCAAAAGTTCATTTCTGTGAATACCTTTAGGATTACAACCTGCTGGTAATGGAGTTTGATTGTAGAATGAGCAACTGGGGCAATTTTTTACTATTTCTTTGGCTTGTTGCCAGGTGATAGAAAAATCCTTCTTTAAGCCTTTGCTGTTAACATGGTGTTTCTTATGAAATTCTGAAGCTTCCAACACATTACCTACTAATAAACGATCAATTTCATCATTGCCTTGTGCCAGAGGACCTGGCAGACCTGTATGGGATCTGATGTGTGTTATATATATAGGAAGAGTCCAGTTTCTGATGTTTTCCTGTAATTGTAAAAATAATGAGGTTAATTCTGTACTATCAATTTGAACTATTTTACACATATTTCCTGATTTATAACCTGCCTTGCCTGATTTGTTTGCATCCGTGTAGAAGGTAAGAACTCCAGAAATAGGTGATTGTCTCACGATACGTGGAAGAATCCAAATTGTTTTCTTTATGAATTTGATTCTCTCTGTTTTGGGATAGTTATTACTAATACTTCCCAAAAAGTCACTGCAAGCTATTTGCCAATACTCATTATCCTTCCATAAGGAGGAAATTTCCTCATTCGTTAAAGGTACAATAATTTCAGCTGGGTCTTTCCCAGTCAGTTGACGAAGCCTTAATTTACCTTTTAATATCAAATCGGAGACCTTTTCTATATATGTTTTCAATTTTTTATTCTGTTTATGTGGCAGAAATACCCATTCTAGAATGATGTCTTCCCTCTGCATTAATATTCCTGAGGGGTATTCTCTAGATGGTAAAATAACCAGAATACAGTCCAGGTTTGGATCCACACGGTCCACATGTGCTTCTAATATTCTCTTTTCTACCCATTCTAATTCTTTTTCAGCCTCAGCTGATAGTACTCGTGGGCTGTTTAGGTCTTTATCTCCTTTTAAAGCCATTTTCAGGTGTTTTAAATCATGCCCTTCTACACCAATAATTGTCTGTAATTGAGAGATTTCTCCTAATAGTTTTTGAAGATCATTAAGAGTCCGGTAACAATCTCTTCTGATCTGTACTTTCTGTGGTCTAATTTTCTGAGCATCTATTTTATAACCTAAATAGTTAATAGAATCTCCTCTTTGTATTTTTTCTGGGGCAATTTGTAATCCCCAGCGAGGCAAAATTTCCTTTACTGCCTCAAACATCTTTTCCAAAGTATCCTTATTTGAATCAGACAATAATATGTCATCCATATAATGATATATTAACGAATGTGGAAATTTTTTACGAATTATTTCTAGAGGTTTATTCACAAAATATTGACACAAAGTTGGACTGTTTAACATACCTTGAGGTAGTACCTTCCACTGGAATCTCTGTACCGGACGGGAATTATTATAGGTAGGTACTGTGAAGGCGAACTTTTCTCTGTCGTTTTCTTGTAGCGGTATGGTGAAGAAACAATCTTTTAAGTCTATAACTATAATTGGCCAATCCTTAGGAATTAGAGAAGGTAACGGCATCCCAGGTTGTAGAGACCCCATAGGCTGAATTACCTTGTTGATGGCTCTAAGATCCGTAACCATTCTCCACTTACCAGACTTCTTCTTGACAACAAAAACAGGCGAATTCCATGCACTAGTTGATTCCTCAATATGTCCAGCATCTACCTGTTCCTGAACTAACTTCTCCAAAGCCTCTAACTTCTCAGATGTCATAGGCCATTGACCCACCCAGACGGGTTCATCTGTCAGCCATTTTAATGGTAGAGCTTTCGGTTGCTCTGTAGGTTTGGCACTAGCATGTTGCTTCTGCACAGCCTGTACATTTGGCATCTGTTTTCTGTACTGTCTTACTATATTCTTACTACCACTAAGAGCTTGTCTATAATTCCTAGCTGATACAGGAGGAATTTTAATCTGTGTATTCCATTGCTGGAGTAGATCGCGACCCCAGAGGTTTATAGGAATATCTGCAACATATGGCTTTAACCTTCCTCTCTGTCCTTCTGGCCCAATAAAGTCAATCCATCTGACACTCTGTTTAACTTCAGATAGGGTTCCAATCCCTAAGAATTGAACATTAACCTCTTTTAAAGCCCAGTTGTGTGGCCAGGACTGCTGATTAAGGATAGTGACGTCACTTCCGGTGTCCAGTAATCCGTAAATCACCCTATTATTTACCTTAACCGGAAGTTTGGGTCTATGATATTGTATAGAAGTTTGCCAAAATATATGTTTTGTATCTCCTCCTGATGTAATTGATTCATCCTCTGGAGCTAATGTATTATCCAGTGCCGTATTATTTACAATGGGCAGTGGATCTTCTAATTGTCCTGGGAGAGGCTGTCCTCCACTGTCACTGGGAATGACCGGATAACCTCTCTGTTTGGGGCTCGGTTGAGCCCCTTTATTCCGTTTTTTGGCTGTAAAGATCTACCTTGTCTGTCTATTGTGGAAAAGCATTCATCAGTCCAATGGCGCCCCTTCCCACACCTCCTGCATAGACCAGGAGGCTTAGGCCTTCTGTTTGATGCATTCCTGGTAAAAGCATTATTTCTAGGAACGCGTTGTCTACAGTTCCTACTAAGATGTCCTATTCTACCACAGTTAAAGCATGTTGTATCTTTATGCCTATTAAAATTCTTTGAGATTGCCTTCCCTACCCATGCCTCTATATCATCACAGGTAGGGTATTTGGCATCCTGGTGCCTCCTCAAGCCTGTAGAAATAGCTTCACCTACCCAAGCTCCTGTATCCTGACTTTTACATTACAGGTTCGCTGTATGTAGGACAACATGTGCTCGTCATATGCAGATTGAACCTGCGTGTCAGCGTAAGGACCCTCCCCAAGAATCTTGTCTTGGGGTACTTCATGACCATTCTGTAATTCCTGAATTTCTATTGCTTTTGCTTCTTGCCTCCATAAAGCTCTCCATTGAATTTGACAAGAATTTTCGAGCACTGCAGAGGCTAATTGGGCCCAATCTTTTGGGGTTACTTTATTTACAGTAGCCCATGAGGTTAGGAGCACTCTGACAAAGGGAGAATGAAGACCATACATGACAATGGAATCCTTAATATTTTTTAGATCCTTGAGCCCCCATGCTGTCTGTCTTTCCCCAGGTTCTCTGAAAATGCTACAGTGTCTCGTAGTCTGCCCAGGTGTCCTTGGAAACAATGCCTGCTGCCGCTTATAGAATACACCTGTAGGTCAGAGCTGACAGGATCCTAAGATTGCTTGAGGCGTTTGGGAGGGTTCTCCAGTAATGAGCAGTGAGCAGAAGCCAGGGAGCTGTATGCTTCAGCCAGCAAGTGGGGATATGAGTCCACCATTGTCTTCCAGCTTGAAGTCTCAGA